GAAGTCTTCCAGTCATGATTAACTCTCTTGAAAATTGAAAGCATAATTTTGGAATAGAAATGAGCTCTACCACTGGAATCAAAATGTGATTCACTTACTAAAATTTGTTTATCTGTTCGGCATTCCTAAGACAGAAAAACCAAAGCAACAGCATTGTAAACAACAGTCGATATTTTAAAATGTCTTTCCGAGCCGTGTTTTCAATGACCCCTTAACATCTGGACTTGATGCTGGCTTTCGTTCATTGGCGCATACCAGAATCAGGCGCGTTTCGAACTCTTCAGGGAATTCCCGAGAAACTTATTCGATCAACAACGCAGCGTATTCGAATAAGCCGACAAATCGGCTTATCTTTTGCCGATCTGTGCGCATGTGCTACACCGCATTTGGTAGCCTCTACATCGGCAAATGAGGGGAATCCGAGGCGAGATAGACTATTGGAAGAAGGGCGCTGAAGTCGGACGAGGAGCTGCTGCCTCAGGGGAGCTCTGGCGTCACGAATAAATTTGACATTATCGTGCGAGAATCTTGTCAGAGGGCAATGCTGATGAATGACTATCGGGAATGTTGGAGACTTCCATCTAGTTTCTGACTAAATGTACACCCCAACTTGGCCTGCGTTATTTATAGGCTGTTCTTTTTTGAGAGGATACAGCTGTAGATGAAGATTCAACGATAAGAAATACATACCTGACAAAGCACTCTTCTGGCTTCAGTAACGTAGAAAAGCCCAACAATAACTCGAGCATCTTGTCGACGGAGGGTTTTCATCGCGTCTGTGGGGTCACCATAGAAGCTTTGTCGTTCAACACGAATACCCCTACTTCGACCGAGCTCCTGAAATGATAGCACACGAAATCAATTTCTATTTAAGCACATAATGAGTTTCCAATTTTGCCCCTCTAAAACCTTCCTAGTTCCAAATGATTGACCTATACGGAGAATTCGTTCATGAGAAAGTATCAAACTATGTTTTCTTGATTTCAATTAACTGCACCGGAAATTATAACTGTCCGGAGGCTAGACTCTCTGTCATAGTCATTTTGCACTTTACTACACTTATTATACCTCCAGGTCCTTTGCCGTAGTTGTAAAGACCTCTTC